TTGGAGAAGCGACTTGCAAATCTGCAGATTCTACTTCCACGTCAGTTTAGCTTCCTTGGACACGGCAGACGATCCTAGGCAGACGCCTGAGGCGTGCAGCCCCCTTAGGAACACAACCCCCCGAGTGAAATTCAAGACAGCGTCCAACGCATAGAGAGATGATGGTTTCTATAGACTTAAAGTTGAAATCAGCTGGGGAAAAAAAATGTATTAGGCTGTTGGGAAATGTGCAAACATAGGCAATCAATACTTCCTGAAAACGAATGTAAGTAATCGTGTGTGTGTTTTACACGTGCTGGTTCAACGCAGCAGCGTGCACATGTGAGAAGATTACAGAGAGATGAGCACACTTCCTGCACACTCATCCTGAATACTGGAGACTAAAATCTTCGACAGAGCCCTGGCCAGTTTGGCTCAGCGGTTAGAGCGTCGGCCTGCGGTCCTGAGAGACCCGGGTTCGGTTCCCGCTAAGGGCATGTACCTCGGTTGCAGTGTGTCCCCGGCCCTGGTTGGTCGTGCGGGTGGCAGCCACTCGATGTGTCCCTTTCACGTCGATGTTTCTCTCTCTCTCCCTTCCTCTCTCTCCCTCCCACTCTATCTGTACAAAAAAATGGGAAAATATCCTCGGGTGAGGATAAAAATAAATAAATAAAAATAAAGTCTTCGACAGAGTCTTAGTGTTTGGAAAACACAGAGATTCACAGAAATGCTTCTCAGCACTACTTGGGTCTCGCGTTGTATGGCTACGTCCTGGGGTGGGGGGCAATTGAAAGTTGCAGACTGTTGATAGAAAATGCAGGACAAAGCTGGGGACCGGGCGGGGAGGGAGGGGAAGGGGGAAATCCATGGGGGGAAAGGAGAAACAACTGTAACAAAAATAAATTAATTAATTTAAAAAAAAAAATGCCAGGACAGCCATCAGGGTGAACAGTTGCAGATGGGATCCCAGCAGGGGGAAGTGTGCATGGCCAAACCCCAAAACACTTTCAGGAGGGTGGGGTGCTGTCTCCTGAGAGTGACCAGACCTCCAATCCCACTCATCCTCACACGGAAAGTCAAGCTGTCTGACCCTCCCTGGCCGCATAGAACACTGTTGGCTTTTCTTCCTAAATGAAAGATGTATACATAGTGTCTAGGTTTTCTTGCAGGCAATCAAGGGGTGCAGTCCACGGGCAGGTTGAAGGATACTTTATTACGGAATCAGTATGTAGCAACTCTAACAGGAACACGATGCGCGCAGAGCGTCAGGCTATTTAGAATAGTTTTTTTGTTTTTTACACATTGTCTTTACAAGACGATGTCTCTAACGTGACACACCCACACAAATCAACTTTCTTTATTACATACATAAATAAATATGGGCTGTAAGTGGCCACCAGAAGGGGCGGGATCTCCGTGGACCACCCGGGTCGGCGTGTAGCGGTGGGTTACCGGGCGCCACAGTAGAGTTAAGGACGGAAACTAACGTCTTGGCCTATCGGCCTCTGTTACCCGCTCTGTCTGCTGTGCAACTTGCCAAAACCGTCAGCAGAGACTGGACATGCGGACCCACAGACGAGAGTCACCGCCTCTACCGCCGACCGGTGCTGTAAGTGAATTTTCACGTCCACACAGCAGATCCTCGGCGTGGGTTCCGGGCGCCAGGGCGAGTTTGTGTGAGAACATGGAGAGACACCTCCGTCGTGGGAGGGGGCCCCACGCACACAGGGTGAGAAAGGGTGAGTCACCAATGACACTGAGGACACAAAGGACGTTAATGTTTGTACCGCGAGACGCAGACACAAGTCAAAATTCAGCCTTTGAAACGGGCTTTTCGGTGCACAACAAAGACACGGTTTAGGGCCTTGAAGTCTAATATAACAAGTTCCCAGCTGTTCCCGGCCCGGGGCTCCTGACCCGGGGCAGACTCTCATCTGGTCTGCAAAGACCGCCCTGTGACACCGTGATTCCCACCAGGGTGACCGCGGCCTCCTCTGGGGCTAGTGAGCAATGTCTGGACAATGTGGTTCTCACACCTCGGGGGGGGGGGGGGTGCTCCTGACAGATGCTGGGTGAGACCAAGGATGGTGCTCAGCCCCCATGGAGCACAGAACCGGCCACACAGCACATAGGCCCAGCCCCATAAGGGACAACAGTCCAGCCCCCAGATGTCAGCGGTGCTACGGGGAGAACCTCATCTATAGACTTGGTTACAGGTTCTTTTGGTTTGTACGAGGTGGGCGTCTTTTTAAACTTTGAATTTTGTTTGATAAGCGTTTCTTAAAATGCCTGTCCGACCCTTGTTGTCTCCAATACGTCATATTAAAACAGGGAACGAGTTGAAAGGGCACACCTTGGCTGACAGGCCACGCCACCGGCTCCGCTCAGAGAAGCAGGGAGCGGAGAGACTCATCGTGAACGAGGGGTGTCGTGAGTAAGGACACACAGAACGCGTAGCGTGAGCAACCTGTATTCCATGCGCTTGTATTTCCATGAGCTCTGTTTTCTTTTTAATGTTTTTATTGTTTTTTTAGAGAGAGAGGAAGGGAGAAAGAGATAGAAAAGTCGATGTGAGAGAGAAACATAGATTGGCCGCCTCCTGCACGGCCCCTACTGGGGATCGAGCCCACACCCCGGGCCTGTGCCCTGACCGGGAATCGAACCAGGACCTCTCAGTCCATAGGACGGCGCTCAATCCACTGAGCCAAACTGGCCGGCAATGAGCTCAATTTTTTAAAGAATACACACCATCCCTGGGAATCCAGGGTGGGGCAAAAGTTGGTTTACAGTTGTGAGTACACAAAACAGTATTCTTGTATTATTATTTATTATGGTATCATTGTCCATACCAACCACTGCAAACCTACATTTTGGCCCAACCCTGTATTTTTTTCTCATATAAGAAATGCATCTAATTTCAATAAAATGTATTAGAGATGTAGCCACTAAAACCATGTGTATCCCTTCATTAGGGGACTGAATGTCTATAAATTTAAAAAAATTGTAATGACATTTTTTTCTCATTGGAGTATTCTTGCTGATTTTGAAATCCATAAAAGAACCACTGCTTCTTTTATGCTTCTTATATTGCCTGGCTAATAGCATTTTCTTCCAACGATAGCAATAAAGTGTAAGCTACTGACTATTACAGAAAAATGAGATGCTCCTAAGAGCTTTGTGGGAGTTTCTTAGGAGGAAGGAAGCGTCAAACCTTCATGAAAACTAAAAATGTGTGTGGTCAAGGTCTATCCCCAGACAAAAGAAACATAATTAAATTGTATACAATTAAGCGTATAATAATGGGACTTTGCATCGATGGATATACTTCTGCGTGTTCAACCACACAGCCCTAGGACATGGCCAGGGTATGTTCACGGGGAGTCAAGAGGAAAACTTGCAGCGATCGATCATGATGGTCTGATTTTCCCGATCTGAGGACTCTGAGGTTCTGGTGCTGCTAACGGCTCTGGGCAGACTGGGGTTTGGAGATGTGCCCCGGTGTTTGCAGAGCAGGGGGTTCCCAAGGAAGGCTATTTCCTGTTCTCTCTGTCCAACACACTTAGGTCTTAGAACGGGGTGACGGCACTACACCTGGGATACGTGTGTCCTGGACCACGAGAAGCTGTAGAAAACCGTTCAGAACCAACCCGAACTTGCGCGCTGAGATCTCCCGGCAGGTCCTGGCTCAGACCTCCGGACGCTGCTGCACCATCAGCTCTCGGGATTTTAACGCGCAGCGAACAGGTCTCAGCATCCGTGACCGGGCGTGCTACTCGGCTTGCTTCCCAGACTTGCCTCGCCGTAGTCATAACGCAGCCCTGTCTGTTCTCCCTCTGGCTCTGTTTCTCTCCCCCTCCTCGCTCGCTCGTGCTGATTCTGCTTTGAGACACGGCGGGGCGCTGTGAGCTGGACGCCCGCCCCGGGAGCGGCCGCCCTGTGCGCGCTCAGGGGACACACAAACGACCCAAGGGAGCGTTAACAAGATGCACGCGTTCTGCTTGGGTAGGTGACGGAACGGGGAGGCCTGTCCTGCAAAACGCGGACACGTCGCTCTTTCCGCCCGGAATTGAGTTGGATGGGGACACGCGTGGCCCGCAGGAGGTTTATAGGAATGGTGTCTTTCCACCGGTGGGGGCTGTGAAGACAGTTTCTTCAGTGACTCGTACTCAAGGTTCATGTGTGTGTATCTATGTAGGTATGTGTATACGTGTGTGTAAACGCACTCGCTTTACATGGACACACACATGTCTGCATATTGCACACCGCGTAGGTGGGAATTTCCTTGGGCAAACGATTCAACTGAACACTTGTGTGGGAGGTGGCCCCCGAGACACGGCAGCCCCGTGTCCCGATGACACCCTTGGACGTCACTTCGTGCTCTAAGGGAGCAGCTTGGGCCTGGGAACTTTTCCAAACAGGAACACACAATAGATTGGGAAAAGTAAAGGTTAATTAAACGGAAATAACTGTCCCTATCCATCAACACCCCCCTTTTCCGTCACTGGGAAGACCCCAGCACGCAAAGAGCTTACTGGGGTGAAGAAAACGGGCGTCTCGGTAAATAGGTGAAAATATTCGCGTCAGGATGCTTTGTTTTTGAGCGAGAGGTTGTGCGATTTTGATGATGCGCGAGGGTGGTACACACACGGAATAGCGCTGTTCCCGTGGAGGAAAAGGGGGGCACATAAATAACGTCAGGAAAATCTCTCATCGTGTGGGGCGAACCCGGAAAGAGCAGCTGGGAGGAGTTGCCGTTTGTCCCCGGTGACATCCGGCTCACCGCTGACCGCCGACTCCGGCCTGCTCCGGGCATCCCTCCGGGCACACCTGGCTCCGCACAACGAAGCTCCCGGTACAGACAGTGGGCGCGTTTTAGACGGGTGTCAATTTGGTCTATCCCAGGTCCGAACGTCCGTTTGGAAGTCACGGGGAATCCACATCATCTTAGGGGACATGGGAGCCAACGGGGCCCACAAACCGTAGAAACGCAGTTGGCTTTGCACGTGAAGTCGGGGACTTCGTTTGGAAAGTTCCGGGGGTGACCCGGATGGCGACTGTGTGGCGTGCGTGGCGGTCCTGCGGGTTTCTCGTGAGAACCGGCTGCCCCGAGTCCGAGGGCCCTCCGCTCTGGGCACCTCGGGGGAGGCGCGTGGTGCCCTGTGCCCGCAGACCGAGGCTCGGGGCCCGTCTCTGTCCTCCGCGCGCGCGGGGGATCGGGACTGAGGTCCTCGACGCGGGGCCCGTGCTTTCGGAGGGGAGGCGATGCAGGGACGTGACCGGGGAGGGGTCCTGGGGGAATACCGTGTTTCCAGCGTCCCGGGGCGAGTCCGCCGCTGTCCTCAGACACCTCTCGAGCGGTTCAGTATCTTTCCGGAGGAGAGCCGTGCAGATGCGGGTGGCGGTGCTTCAGGTGGGGTCCTGAGAGGAGACAGACACGTGTCAGGCCCTTCGCTTCAGACGTGCCCGTGTGACCCCGAAAGCACCTCGAGGTTAGCTCCTGCTCTCCCTGGTCTCTCCCTGCCCGGGTCCCCTCCTCCCTCCTCTGCTTGCTGGACCACAGAAACGCCGCCGGCCTTGCAATGACATCTCACAGTCACACAAGCGACCCAAATTCTTTCTGTCCTCAGAGAGTTTAGAAATTAAATACTTGGTCGGGCCAGTGTGGCTCAGAGGCTGAGCATCGATCCAGGCACCAAGAGGTCACCGGTTCGATTCCCGGTCAGGGCACATGCCCAGGTTGTGGGCCCGATGCCCAGTGGGGGGCGTGCAGGAGGCGGCCCGTCCATGTTCTCTCTCATCCATGTTTCCATCTCTCTCTCCCTCTCCCTTCCTCTCTCTCTAAAACCAATAAAGGAAAAAATTTTTTAGAAAAGTTAAATACTTGGCCCTGGCCAGGTAGCTCCGTTGGTTAGAGCGTCAGCCCAATATGCCAAGGTTGTGGGTTTGATCCCTGGTCTGGGCACATACAAGAATGGACCCATGAATGCATGAGTGGAACAAGCAATCAATCTCTCTCTTTCCCTCCCTCCTTACCTTCTCTCTCTCTCAAAAAAAAAAAAAATCAATAAAAAGTTTTTAAATGAGTAAATACTTTTAGGAAACTATGTTGATGGAGGAATCGTGGGGAAGTGTTCACGCCACTGTTACAAAGGCAACGGATCGGCGAACTCTCCCACGGGGTTCGATTTCATTTTCCTTCCAATTCCAAACATAAAGTCCTTGGGGCAAATGTGAGCTGTCATTTTTCAAACATCGGAGGTTAAACTCGGATTACGTCTTAATTTTGATCAACACAGACATCTTTAGATGTGGCTTTTTTAGTTTACGCTGGATCAAGATAAAAGATGTATGATTTAAAATCAACAAGATGCTCCTTGCTTGGAATGGATGCTCTTTCCTTTATTGCTTTGAGAGAGAGATGAAGGGAGAGGGAGCATTTTATTTTATTGGTGGTTGTTTTATAGACTGGGAGGGAGGGAGGGACAGAGAGAGACACCAATGTGAGAGGGACACATCGACTGGCTGCCCCCCTCCACGACCCCAACCAGGGCTGGGGATCACACTGCAACCCAGGTACGTGCCCTTGACCGGAATCAAACCCACAACTCTTTGTCCTCAGCCTGATGCTCTAACCGCTGAGCCAAACCGGCCAGGGCTGGGTAACACGGTCTAAGAAAACTTGACTTGGTTTAGCAAGCTCAACTAGGGCCACGTTTTGTAGAAAACTCACGCACTATCTTGCAGAAACATGTACGTAATAAGAAAATACGCTTCTTAGCGAACTATTATTTCTTACGTCGTCCTATTTGAATATCTTAATTTTGAACGAAAATCCAATATGATTATAGATTTTTTTCCATATGTATGTAGAGGTCCAAAGACAAAGATAAAAATAAAAAAAAGATGCATTAAATGAAAATAAATGGAAGGACTTTATTTCAGCAGATACAAGGGGAGGAAGGTTCTTAGACAAAGAGGATTCCCGAGGTCACAGGAGCCTGGAATGACTGATTGTACTTTTCACCAAGGCTGTTGTCAGTGTGGAGAAGACACAGCGGGGTCCTTACTGTGTGTGGGGGGCGGGAGCTCGGGGGTCTGGAAGGTCCTGATGGTGGCCGGCCCCTCGCCCCCGGTGGTCAGCACTTGGACCTCCAGGCGGTACAGGGTGGACGGCCTCAGGTTGGGCACCGTGAGGACAGAGTGATCCTGGGAGGGACACAAAGGGACATGCTGTCAACGGCTTCTGGAAAGGACAGCACAGTGCCGGTGGGCTCGGGGACTGTTACCTCCCGTATGACGTGTTTGGGGACCGTCACCTCCCCGTATGACATGTTCGGGGACCGTTACCTCCCCACATGATGTGTTTGGGGACTGTAACCTCCCCGTATGATATGTCCAGGAACCGTAACCTCTCCTCCGTATGACATGTTTGGGGACCGTCACCTCCCTGTATGATATGTTCCATGACTGTCACCTCCCCATATGATGTGTTTGGGGACTGTAACCTCCCCGTATGATATGTCCAGGAACCGTAACCTCTCCTCCGTATGACATGTTCGGGGACCGTCACCTCCCTGTATGATATGTTCCGTGACTGTCACCTCCCCATATGATGTGTTTGGGGACTGTAACCTCCCCGTATGATATGTCCAGGAACCGTAACCTCTCCTCCGTATGACATGTTCGGGGACCGTCACCTCCCTGTATGATATGTTCCGTGACCGTCACCTCTCCGTATGATGTGTTTGGGGACTGTTACCTCCCGTATGACATGTTTGGGGACCATTACCCCCTGTGTGACATGCTTGGTGACTGTTACCTCCCCGTATAACATGCTCAGTGGTTTCCGGCACCCTGGGGTCATTTGGAGGCTGTGCCCCGGATCCTGGAGGTCTGTGCTGAACGTCTCCCCACACCCAGCCCAGGTCCTGGCAGCGAACCCTGGCAGAGTGGGCGTGTGCAGGGCCAGTCCGCAGGGCTCACCTGGGGTCACCGATGTGTCCCCGGAGGGACGACGCCCACGGGCTGCAGTGTTCCTCGGCTCATCGTGTGATGGGAATTCCTCCTCATCCCATTTCCGGGAACGAGCCCCGTTTCCCTTCGGACACACCCTCCCCGTGGGTGCCCAGAGCAGAGGGCGGTGCTGCTGTGAACACGTGTGCCAACACGTGCTCCAACACGTGCTCCTCAAGCAACCTCACACCTTTCCGCAATCACCGCGTTCTAATTCCCTGGGAGTTTTCCTTCCGGGCTTTAAGTTTTTGTTTTGTGTTTTGTTTTGTTTTGTTTTATCCTCACCCAAGGACATTCTTCCATTTTCTGTTCAGATAGAGTGGGCGGGGGGGTGGAGAGAAACATCGACGTGAAAGGGACACATCGAGTGGCTGCCACCCGCACGACCAACCAGGGCCGGGGACAAACTGCAACCGAGGTACATGCCCTTAGCGGGAACCGAACCCGGGTCTCTCCGGACCGCAGGCCGACGCTCCAACCGCTGAGCCAAACCGGCCAGGGCGGGGATTTAAGTTTTTCTGCTCTTTCTGAAGCAGGACTTGGGTGCTCTAGGGCATTTTTAAAGAGGCTCAAAGCCCCCACACAGTGTGTTTTTCAAGCCCAGGAACCAAGTGCGGGTAGACAGGGGGTCATCCGGGCCGCAGCCAGATGAAGGGGTGAAGGAAGAGAGACCAAAGCGGCTTGTAGCTGTCGGCTCCCCAGGGGACACGCCCACCTGGGTGTGGCACTCGTGGCACTTGGGCTGGGGCGCGTGGGGTGAGCAGAGGCGGGAGAAACAGTTACACGACTTGGATACAATGTAGACGGAGAAGGTGGGCTGAGGAGCCGGGTCTGGCCCCCAGAATTCACGGGAAGGGTAGTTTTTCCACTGTCACCGATGCGGGGACGCCTGTTTCCTTAGGGATGGAAGCGTCCGGGCGAAGCGAGGGTGGGACTAAGACCGAAGCGTGGCGCGGCCTGGGCAGGGCGCCGCGTGCGGGCAGGGCGGCCAGGGGCACCTACCGCGGGCAAGATCTGCGACTGCGAGATGATGCTGTTGGGCAGGCTGTTCTGCCTGCTCTCCGTCGTCACCTCCGCCCACGTCACCTGGAAGCCCGTCAGGGGCTGCTGGAGTCTGGCCTTGGTCATCCTCCAGGAGAAGTGGCCCGTGATGTTCCCGTCCTGCGTGGCAAAGGACGCGGACAGGTTCTCCGGCTTGGCCAGCACGCTGGGGGGAAGGTGGCCTGTGTGGTGGAAGACAGCAGCCGGGTTAGGGACAGAGGCCGAGCAAGGTGGACTGACCGACGGCGGGGCAGGCAGGCGGCGGCGTCTGGAAGCGTGGTCGCGGACCATCAGCGTGGGGCGGATGGGACCCTGTGGGAGCCGGGCCCCCCGAGTCGTGGCCACTCTGTGCCAAGTGCGTCTAACCCTCAGGGGCTGTTTTTAAGATCCGGCTTGGCAGAGGGAAGACAGGACGAATTCTGAAGTCTGGCAGGACCTGGCCCTGCTTGGAGAACACAGGTGCCTGCCCCGGGGAGGGACACAGGGACGCTGTGACCGAAGGGCCATGGGGCCTGCACCGGAGAGACCTGGGCTTCCCCCTTCAGGAAAGGGGCTTTGTTGGCACAAGGGGTGGGGGGAAGGTGTGGCCAAAGAAGGGGCGCACAGGTACGCCACACAGGACGTGAGCGGACACAGGCCGCACACATCAGTGTCTCAACGTCTGGCTCCCCGCGACCACGGTGCCAGGGTGCTGTGCGGGGTGTCACAGTGACAGACCCTGCAGACACCGGCTGTGCACAGCACCTCCACACCGGCCCGCCACCCCGCGGCGTAGACGGGGGGCATTTCCGTGGACAGGGCGCTGTGAGAACCTGGGAAATGCCTGCAGGGCGCGACCTCGCGGCGCACCGGGCGCTCCGACCCCACGCACCTGCGTCTCCGGGGCAGTGGCCCAGCGCTCGGCTCTTCCCCGGCAGCGCGGAGCAGGGCGGGGTCGCGAAGAGAACCGAGTCGGCCTTCCCGTGGCCCTGGGGCCCCAGGGGCTGCACAGTCACCTTATACTTGCAGGAAAACGCCAGGTCCTGCAGAATGATGTGATTTTCCTAGAGCGCGGCAGAGAGAGGGAGAGAGGGGCCGGGAATCTCATTAGGGATCAGAGAAAGCATCCCCGACACGTGGAGTGGGGGCCAGGTGGCGTTTGTGAGGGGCACGGGAGACCGGGCGGGGCTGCTGAGTCCCACGGAGCCCTCCCTGGGCGGCCACGTCCCTTAGACCCAGCAGGACACAGGACCAGTGTGGGCAGCTGTGCAAAGCGCAACCCAATCCTACTCAGTCCCAATAGGAAAACGCTCCGGGGGCTCCTCCGAGACCCAGGCTTGGTTCACAGCCGGTGACATGGGAAGAGGAGAGACGGGCGACACGGCTGGGGATGCGGGGCTCCGGAGCGCAGCCCGGGCACAGGGACCAGGGCGTTGGGGCTGCAACCACCGTGTGTGCCACGCCCGCCCCGTGCCCGTGCCAGGACGGGGGTGGGGGCCTGGGTCTGCTGCCCTTGGGGTGAAGGGCGGGGTGGCCGGCAGGAGCCGCGGGGGTAGGAAAAGCGTGAGACCAGAACTTCCATTAAAAGGCGCACGCGGGGACGCCGGGCAGAAGCCACGGCCGTGTGCCCAGGGCAGGGTCGGCCCGGCGTGTCGCGGTGCCAGGGCCACTCAGAGCCAGCGCGGGACACGCCGAGGGGCTCCGGGAAGCCATCCCCGGCTGCTGCCGCCTGGGAGTCTGCACCGTTGTTCTGGGGACCAGTCTGCGCTCTGCAGGGAACGTGTGGGAACCCGAGAGACCCACAGACTGTGGACAGCCAGGAGCTTCTGCTCAGAAAGCGTTTAGCAGACCCCGGTTCTGTTTACTGGTTTCTCCGCGTGTTCTCCACGTGCGCCGCCTCCTTTTACTTTTCTAAATGTCTCTGGACTGTGGAAAGTATGAGAGACGTTCCTCCTTCCCCCCACGGACACCCTTCTCCTTCTCAAAGGTCTGTTTCTTGCTTGCTTTCCTGAGGGTCACACCCGTTAGCAAGAGGTTGAGGATCGATGCCAAGCACCAGGTCCGGCAACACAGGCCCAATCGGGTGACCAGAAAGCCCAGCGTGTGTTTCTGCAAAGCCAGGCCGTGTTTCCGCCGACAGTCTTCACGTGCGTGCCCACACAGGGCTCTCGAGACTGCCCTTGTCGCTCCAGAAAACACTCGGAAGACAAATGTTCCAGTTAGATGCAATGCATCAAAATACTTGGCGTGTGGGGCTGCACCACGGGTCCCACTGTGTCGCCGATCAGTGGCTGTCGCCATGCCGGGCGTAGCCGAGCGCCCCCTAAACGTGGCTGTGGCGTGCTGAGTGGTCTCCGAGGCCCACGCCCACCGCGCGTGGTTAGAACAATGTACTGAGCAGGACACATGACAGTCCCTGTGGACGGACTGGCCTCTGCACGTTAAGAGCCCCAGCGCGGGGGCGGGGTGCACGGACAGGGAACCTCTGTTATTCCTGGATGACTTGGTGGCACTTGTGGACACGGCCGAGTGAGACGCTCAGTCACAGGGTCGGGGGAACTCCCCTGGGGGAGGATTGGAATGACATTTCGCTGCCAAGTGAACATGCAGAGGCTGACTCCAAGCCTTGGTTTGTGCACCAAAGAGGAAAACGCGCCCCGGGCATCCCCACGGCCTGGGCGGTCCTGAGCCTGGAGCGCGGTGTCTCCTGTCTGCGCTCAGGACCTGCCCCGGGCGATGGACGCGGAGCCACCCCGAGGCCGCGTCGTGCACGGATGAAAGGAGGAGAAATCACAGGGACCCTTCTGGGTCCAGTCTTCGCCGGGGCGTTTGCTCAGTAGCGAATTTGTGGGGACGATGTGTCCCCGGGACACACCGCGGACACATCCTCCGGTGCAGTCCTACACACACATCGAAGGAGGCTGACAACTGTCCCGAATCGAGCGGTGTGACCGCGGACTCACCTGGGTGGTGCTGGCCGCGGCCCCCGGCCTGGCGCTGTCGTTGCGGGCACAGACTTCGGGAACCCAGCGCACGTGGTAATGAGTCACGCCACGATCTGTAACGACAGAACACGCACGGCGGCACCGTCCCGTCTCAGACGCAGCCAACAGCAAGGACAATGCCGCCCCCTGCGGGCCAGCCCGATGGGCGAGCGCGCTCGGAAGGAGCCTGCGGGGCTTGCGGAGTCCTTCCTCACTGGGTCCCCTGACCAGGACCAGCATCTAAAATGTCACACACGAGCCAAGGAAGCGCCTGAGATAGGAGAGCTGGACAGAAACGTTCGTTCGTGAAGCCACAACGAAACGACGCGAGCCGTGTCTGGCGAAGAACCTGGCCACGGTGTCTGTGTGGTGAGCGCCTACACGCCCAGCAACCCTGGCGTGACCGTCGCTCCGGAAGACACTCAGAATCTCCAGGGAGGGGCTCTGCCATGACCTGAGGAACCGTCCCCCGCCAGAACAAAGCATGTTCCTGCAGCACGGAGCCTGGCCCTCGGACAAGGCCTCCTGGGTACAGCCTCCCTCCCCTGCCTGTGTCCTGGCATTGCCCCTGGTCCCGGCTGAAGGGTGACTTCCCTGTCTCACAGGCAAGAAGAGGGTCCTCTGTGCACCGCACAGTGGGGGCCCTGCCCTGTCCTGGGCGATCAGGCGCAAAGAAGACGGAGCAGTGGCCAGCGGTGCCCCGAGGGTGCAAGAGGAGCCCTGGGCCCCGCACGTCCAGGCCGGGACGCGTCCCACTGCCGGGGATCACGCCGAGCGTTTGGTGGGGTTTCGGAGGGGAAGTCTGCATGAGTGGCTGCGTCTGGTGGGCACTGGCTCTGGGCTCTTTGGAACGAGAGAAGAAGACCCCCCTCAGAGAACACGGGCAGCGATCGGGCAGCACCGGGGCTCAGGGAAAAGCCGAGCACGCGAGGGAGGCTCTGACTTCCCCACGCGGGCATCAAGGACTGTTTTGTGAAAACAGAAATGTGTACCATACACAAGCCGAGAGTGAGCGCCGGCCCTTTGATGGAGCGAGCTGCTGAGGCAGCCTCCGGGCTGGAGGGACCACCCAAGAACAGCTGCCTTTCTGGGTCTGCGCTGGAGCAGGGCGCCCGGGCCACGGCCGATGTGCACGGTGAAACACGGGTGAGCCGGGGCTGGCGTGGCCACAGAGAGAACGCGTCCCTGTCCCCGCAGGGCTGGGACTCGCTGACACAGGCATTTGCTGTCCTACAGCTGTGAGAATTGCAACTGTGTGTGTCATCGAGCCTGGGGACTTGGCTCAGGTCCCCGGTTGCTGCCCACAGGCTTCTGGGAGGACGAGAAAGGTGCCCTAGCGTGGACACGTGCTCCCTGCCTCCGTGTGCGTGGAGGCTGGGGCTTTGGGCCAACGGTTCCCCATCCTGAGCTCCGCGGGGTTCGGGTGTTAATTTGGCTTCCCAGTGGAAGATGAAAAGGGAGATGGGATGGATATCACCCTAAGAAGAGGGTTATTGGGGACACCACGCGACGCTAGATCCGACTTGTTCTTAGTACACTGCCGAAGTGGCACGTGATGCGTGGAAATCCCCAGCATTCGCGGAGTCAATGAGGGCACGACGCCCGCTCAGATCCGTGTTCCCGCCACACGGCCGTGGCTCAGCTCCAGGGCTGCTGGGCAGCGTGTCCGCGTACACACACGTACACACGCATGCACACGGAGCTGCCCGCAGTGTTCCCGTGTGCAACAGACGAATGCAACACAGCACGACGTCCTACGACTGTGCATGTCACCGTTCATAAAATTCTCCCTTGAAACCCATCGACGCTACAGCTCACGTGAATTTTCCATGGGTTATAAAACTGTTATGAAACTTAGTCATGTGACTACAGGAATATGTAACTTTGAATTTCATCAACGGTATTGAAATGAAATGTAAATTTAGTTAACGTTCGCGTGACGAGACGTGAATGTTCACGGTCGTGTTGTTTTAGGGGTGGAGCAGACGGCAGCAGCCCGGGAGAGAATTCTGGAAGAAACAGCCCCAATATCAATATTCCTTTGGCACGGGGCTGCCACCCCGAGTAAATTAGCACTTTAGAGGAATCAGGATTTTTAAAAGTGGATTTTTCAGCCTGGCCCATGTGGCTCAGTGGACTGAGCGTCATCCCATTTACCAAGAGGTCCCGGTTCGATTCCCGGTCAGGGCACACGTCTGGGTTTCAGGCTCGATCCCCAGTGGGGGGCGTGCAGGAGGCGGCCGATCCCTGTTTCTCTCTCACTCGATGTTTCTCTCTCTCTCTCCCTTCTTCCCTCTAAAAAAAAAAAAAAAAAAAAATTCAATAAAAACATATGAAAAAAATAAAAGTGGACTCTTGAAATATTTTGCTTCTGATTTAAAAATGCACGGGAGAGAAAGACTGAAATGTGTGTCAAATCATCCTAAAGGTGCTATTTCAAGGATGCGAAGTAAATACCCTGACTCAGCAGAGGAAGCACACGAAAGGAATTTATCCGGAAGATAAATATTTGGGCCAACAAAAAGCATCTGCTCTAAGGACAAGGATGACGCCCGTTCTGAAGTGAGCTACATGCGTCTCTGTACAGAATAATGAGGCAGTAGTATGGTATACCCACCAAGGCACAGACGGGCCATGTTAGGGACATGCATGATAATGCAGAATGCCCATGAATGTTACCCGAAAACGTGTGATTTACACTCCCGCACACATGCGTGTACACATGCGTGCACACACTCTTGCACACACGTATGCATGCACACGCATATGTATGCACATGCACACGCACACTGAGTAACAAATAGAGGCACAGGGGCCCCTGGAAGGAACCCCACTAAAATGCTGTTTCCATGAAATGATGTTTGCAGATAAGTGACTTTTTTTTTCCAGTTTCAAAATCACTTGTGTTATGTGTCTTTTTTAAAATAAAAATAAAAACGCAGTGCAAAGCCATGACATTCTCAGTGCTGTGGACACAAGACGGGGCTCTTGTTGCCCTGGGAACGGGATGTGGCCCCTGGGGGCAGGCACCCGCTGAGAACTGAGAACCGCATTAAAAAGTCCGTGTTTCCTGCCCTGGCCGGTTTGGCTCAGCGGTCAGAGCGTCAACCCGCAGGACAAAGGGCCGCAGGTTCGATTCCAGCCAAGGGCGGGCACCTCAGCAGCGGCTCATCCCCAGCCCTGGTCGGGGTCGTGTGGGAGGCAACCAGTCGATGTGTCTCGCTCACATCGATGTCTCTGTGTCTCTCTTTTTCTCTCTGTCTCCTCCCCTTCCACTCTGTCTGAAGATAAATACAAAAATATCTTCGGGGGAGGATTAAACAAAAAGTCAGTGTTTCCGTGAGCTGCGGGCTTCCCTGATGCCGGGCTGTGCCCCGCCCCCCGAGCCCCTCGCGAGATCTCTGATGTCCCCAGGCCATGCAGAGCCAGGGGGATGCTGGCGTACCTTCGGTCTTTTTCCAGTAGACCTTGACTTGCAGCCGGCCGTCTTGGTAAAAGGGAGCGCCCACCTCCAGCAGACGACGGTGTCCTCGTCTCTGGACAGGGGGCTGCGTCCGGACCACACCCTTTTTACCTTTGCCAAGTGGCTCTTCTACAACAAAGCACAGAGCCCCAACTTATCAGTCAAAACGGATCACGACTACCCGACGTCCACCCCGGAGTATCGGGCTTCACAGCGATCCGCTCCCATGTAGGGACGATTTTCGAAGTGAAATGTCATGAAGCGGCACCTTTTTTATGCTCAGGTGCTAACCCCCGCCGGATCGCTTGGAAGACCTAACATTAGAGGTGACCCCCAGAATTTCGGTGGGTAATCAATGCATCCACGGTCCTAAAAGAGTCTCATGGAAACAAGAGGTCTTTCTCATTGCAGATGAGTTTGCCGCTGTGAAGGAAGTCAACAACGTCGTATGAAAGTTATATAGATGGCTTTTCACAGAAGTACGGGTAAGGCACCGGACTGCCTGCTACGTAGCCCTCCAGGGGAATGGGGCTCAACTTTGTGGAGGAAGAGTGGAAATTCCATCCCCCAGAGGTTTCCAGACCAGTCTCCGCAGCCCATCGATGGGCGTTCAGACAGGGACACACAGCCACGCAGACGTCGACTGATATTAGCGTGAAGTAGCCAGACACACGAGAAGAAGCTCCCGTCACTAGTTTTCACACAGATGCGTATTCGAACCACAGGGAGAGATCACCTCACACCAGCCAGAATGGCGCCCCTCAGTCCACAGACGACAGTGCTGGCGAGGACGTGGGGCGGGGGAGCCCTCGTGTTCTGCTGGAGGGGGTGCAGACGGCAGCAGCCACTGTAGAAAGTGGTATGGAGGGTCCTCAAAAATTAAAAATGGGCCCAGCCGGTGTGGCTCAGGGGTTGAGCGTCGACCCTGCACCAAGAGGTCGCCAGTTCGATTCCCGGTCAGGGCGCATGCCCAGGTTGTGGGTCCGATCCCCAGTGAGGGGCATGCAGGAGGCGGCCAATCAGTGTTCTCTCTCCCTCTCCCTTCCTCTCTCTCTAATATCAGGGAAGAAAAATATATATTTTTTTTAATTAAAAATGGAACTTGCCTTATGACCCAGCAATTCCATCTCTGGGCATTAATCCAAAGAAATCCAAAACACAAATTTAAAAAGATCTCTGCACCCCTACATTCCTGGCAATGTTATGTGCAACCGCCGAGATGTGGGAGCGACCAAGTGACCATCAATAGACGAGTGGATAAAACATTTGGGAAATGCAATGCAATGCCAGCGATCCATCCACCCACCCACCCATCCATCCATCCACCCACCTACCCATCCATCCATCCACCCACCCACCCACCCATCCATCCACCCACCCACCCATCCATCCATCCATCCATCCATCCATCTGTTCATTCGTTCGTTCATTCTGTAAACATTCAGCGAGGACTTCCTCGGAGCTAGGCACCCAGCTGGGGCTGCAGACAGTCAGCTTCTATCAGAGGGAGGCTGAGCCCCAGTGTGCCAGGTGGGTACGCGGGCCGCGGCGGGACCGTGGGCTGGGGGCGCAGCACTGGACGGAAGGACCTGCCTATGTCTCAGGGGCCACTGTGGCCTCTTCTTCGGAAAAGCAACCAAAGACTTCCCCAGGACAGGACTTACGAGAATGCACTGCAGACTTGTTTCCATATGACGAGGGACACTTTAAAAAGACAAGATGAGAACATGTGGGCGTGGTTACTACATTTAAGGTGAATTTTTCTGGGTCTGCTGGAACTGTGTGCAGTGACTCACTGCAAAGCAAGGGTACTATAAGGCCGATCCACAGTGCTCCCGAGCCTTCAGTACCCCGCTGCAAGGGAACACGGGGAGGCTGCCATCAGAGAAGTCACCACGAAATATTCCTTTAAACCAGTGATGAAATGCACACTGTATTTCAAACTTTCTGCACTTGCTTCGCTTTTGCTGTTCTCTAGATTTTGCTGTTTCAATGTAGCTACTTCTTTGCCACTGTGACAGTCCTAATGCCTAGGATCGGAGGGGCTCCTTGGTAACTATGTGTCACCTGCTTCAGCTGTTTCAGTGTAGCTACCTCTTTGCCACTGTCACAGTCTTAACTCCTCAGATCGGTTGGGCTCCTTGGTAACTACGTTTCGACTGTTTCAGCTCAACCTTCCAGCGCACTTCCTCCTGCGGGTCCCACCCTCTCTGTCCTGGAAAACTGCAAGTTCTTCTAGCCGATGACCCCCAGGTCAACGGAAAGAAACCCATCTGCATCGTCCCAGTTGTACGTCACTATCCCCCCTGTAGTTTGTTCTTCCAACCACCAGCGGAAGACTTCACTTGCATGTCGCGTGGATTCCCACGGCCCGCTCAGCGCCCCCCACGGAGCAGGTGCTCCATACGTGCGTACGGGGTGACACGGACGGAGCATTTGTGGGCTGATGTCTCCAGCGCTGTCCCCGAGGTGCATCTGGGCTGCTGAGTTATGTCCGCCCAGAGGCCCTTTGCCATGATCCAAGCATCTTGGCCTCGGGCACCTTCCCCTGTGGCAGCAAAGGCAATACACCTGTGTTCTGGTGGCCCCTGGTGGTCTCTGAGTTACACGGTGACCCCTGACACCCCTGGATTGGAGTCGCAGCCGTCGTCCGGGAGAGAACCGGCTCGGCACACCCTCCAGCCAAGGATGGGCGTGAAGAGTCCTGGTCTGTGGGTCTCACGTCCCCCCAGCACCTCCGCTATCATCACCCCATAAAAGCAGCCACCAGACACCGTGCCATGCACCAATAAAACGGACTGATGGAGGCAGACGATCGGGGCTGGACCTGGCCCGTAGGCCACCGTTTGCAGACCCCCAAGGAGAGGGGCTGCCCCGCGCATGGGAAAGACACACGCCGTACGACTCCGCCACAGGAAGGCTCGAGTCCAGTTCCTCCCAGCTGAAGAAGTAACAAAAAGGCGGGACCTCACCCAGGGCCATCTCATACCACCTTCATGTTCTGTCACCACCCCCTCCTCCTTTCAGAGGGCCGGTGGCACTTGACACGGGATAAGAATAAGGGATCGACAAGACCCCGGCCTCCCCTCGGCCCACCCCCCGATTCTCGAGGTTGCGCACTTAGAAAGTCTGCCCTCTGGCACGAGACTGTTCTGCTTTCTGAATTCCAAGTGGCCCTTGGAGAGACCGCAGGTGCGGCGGTGCCCACCCCACTCTGCTAAGAAGTGTGCTACGGACATTTCTCTAAGGCAGCCGAGAGGGCCACCTTCTTGGGGTGGGGGACGGGAGAGGGACGCTGGGCAGGAGTGGGGGGAGGGCACCGACGGGGGCGAGGCAGGGCGTCGGGGGCCGGCAGGCGGGGTGCTCCGAGGGTGCTTTCCTGACGCCCACGCTGCTGACTCATCCCCCAGGGGTCCCTCGGGAAGAAAGTGGCCGCGTCCATTAGACTCATAGTTAGAATGTTTTCGTTTCAACACTCCGCGTAAATGTTTGCACACTGAGAAACAGCTATGGGCGTGAGGGTTCTTCACCCAGTGCAGTGGGCGTGTGAAGGGTTTTTCAGACCCTCGCCGGCACGCGGTTGCCATAGCAGCCGAGTGTCCAGTTCTCACCTGCAGAAGATGGGGGATCTGACCGGGGACAGGAGGGGCTCAGCCCTACCAGCGGCGCCCCTGCCCCACACACACTTCAGACAACAGGTGCCACTGGAGGCCCGGGGAGTAAATGAGCTCGTGCCCAGAACGCGGTCCTGGGGAGGGTACCCAGCGCATCTGCATCGCTGGGTAACACGTGTCTCTTGCAGCACGCGTTCTGAATGGGACCTGAGCCCTGAGACCGGCCTGCGTGACGCAGAGCAGTTGGCTGAGGCCGCAGGAGGGGAGGAGACAGGGGCTGCCCACAGGTTGGGGGAGGACCGTGGACCACGCACCGGCTTCCAGAGCACACAGGCTCCCAGGGAGAACGTGCGTGTTCGCGCGCCCAGACGCGATTCAGTTCCGTGGATGTGGCTTTCCAGGATGGGGGGACAGGGGGTGCTCCCCACCTGTGGAGTCTCCCACATGCAAGAGGAAGGCTTTAGATCCTTGAGGACCGAGGAGGCCCAGGAAGGGCTCAGGTGGATCGTGGGCCCCTGTGTGGGCCCTGAGCGGAGGAATCCACGCCCTTGTGCACCCGGTGGTCAGAGGGACACCCAGGTCCGTCGTCATGCCCGAGAGAGGACGAGAGGTGGCAGCAGGCTACGGGGCCGCGTGCGGATGCCCCGGGCGAGGGTGAAAGACGGCCGTCGACGGGCTGCTCAGACCCCCGGCCCGGGGAGACCTACTGCAGGCCAGACCAGGACTTGGAGGGGGACGGTCCCTCAGCAAGCTGAGGTGGCACTCTGTCCCCTCGTCCCGGCTGTGGGAAGGAAGGCGGTTTGCTGGTAGAAGCAGCAGGAGAGCAGAAGGCAACCGTATTACACGGCAGATGAGATGCCCACCAGCAGGGGCTGTCCGAGGTCTGGGTGCCACACAAGGGTCTTGGTCGGGCGAGGAAGCGGGCAGGTGGGGGACAGCAGAGAGGGCGGGGAGCTGGGGACAAGGCAGAGGGACACGAAGACGGGGCATCTGGTGAGCGGAACTCGGAAGAGGGAGAAGTCCCCCAGACAGGCCCTATTTCCCGAAGGACCATCAGTACAGAACGGGCATCGGACAAAGAGCAGCATCAGAAAGGCGAGTTGGGAGATTGTTTCCATTTTGCTGGAAAGAGGTGACCATGTCCTGCGAAGGGAAAAACTGCACAGCCCACCCCGAAATGGAAACCGGAGAGGAGAGGACTTGCTGAGACTTGGACGGAGCAGAGGGAGGGAGCGAGGGGTGGGAGAGGCCCTTCCCATCTCTGGGGGGACCCAAGGGCGCATGGTGAGCCCCTGGGAGAGAACAGATGTGAGAGGGAAATCGAGAGTTCCGGGTACATTACACTAGGGATACCCGCGAGCGTGTGTGTGCGTGTGAGTTTGCACATGGCTGAATGTGTACATGCATGCACACATGTGCGCATGTAAACACAGGGCACACATGTATTGCAGAATGCACACACCGTCTCACGGTCTGTACAGGCAATGGGCACGCAAGGTCCGTCCGGGCGTCCGTAACAGCAGACACCCGTCCGCCGAGCAGCGTCACACGTCCTCGGCGTACATTTCACGCTGATGGCTGACAGACAGACGCCTGGCTTTAAAAGCATCGGTGATGTGACCGAACACGGACACGTGTCCGTGAGATTCCCCAGGTAAGAGCGGTCCTGCACGCAGAAAAACTGGAATATGCGTAGTGTAACAGAACCTAAATACGGTGTGCATAGAAACCGTACACTTTTCGGACCACCGAATCCCCCAAGGGCTGCTTTCAGGCAGGTGGCAGCTGTCTCAGGGACCTTCGCAGCATCCTGGGCCCCGTGTGTTCCCAGGCGGCAGGTGGTAATTACGAGCATGACTGGGTCTGGCTGCACCAGGGCCCGAGCCCCCAAGCCCCATCCAGGTGCTAACACACTCCTCTTCCCCTTCTGAAGCCGCAGGCACTGGGCTCTGCCAGCCTGGGACCCACATCCCCGCAGCCTGACACCAGTGCCCCCCTTTTAACCCGCCCCTTTCCAGAAACCTGGCAGAGCCCCCTCGTGGCACGGGGACCCATCCCCGGCCCGCCTCCGCACAGCACCAGGAACGTCTCGGAAACGTTGGCTCAGACACGAGCGCACATAACGCTCCCGCCGGCTCTGCTCACGTCCGGGGAAACACACTAGTCTAGAGGGACTGGGCACGCGGGGAGTCAGGACAGGCAGGACGGAGTCACCATGCAGGGACTTGGTGGCCTCTGCCACCCTGCACACGAGCGCTGTCAAACCACCCAGGTGGGCGTCACCCTGTGCGGAGGGACGCGGCGGCTTATCACAGCTCACCTGTGGGGGTTCTCCCTGGAAAACAGTGCGCATGTGCCCGGGACCCTAATCCTGTCCATCTAAACATTGGCCAGAGAGACAGGACATCTTCTTGTTAGGTTTCGATCATGACACCAAACTACGGCACAGACGACATCGGAAGGAGGAGACACAATTCTAAGACAAACCTGTCGCACACATCGCCAGTGAAAGACACAGTTACAGGCTTGGGGGGTAAAACGGACCCCAGGGAGACCCCAGACATGCTCTCCCTGCGCTGGGGCCCGCAGGTGGGCAGGTCTCTGCTGGACCCGGAAGGCACTTACGGTCACGGGCGGGGTGCGTGGCGGTGAAGTGCAGGGCGACCTTGGCACTCTTGAGGCGCACCTGTCCCCAGTACGCGATGGCCTGCAGCTCCACGCTGTAGTTGCTGTCCGGCTGCAGCCGCTCCAGGACCACGGAGTTCTGAGACTGTGAAGACAGGGCGCACCGGCTCCGTCGCACGCCGTCCTGCCTCCCCGCCCGTGCAGAACCCAGCGCCCGGCCCCGTGAGCGGACCGAGCTCTCCTGACGCTCGTCTTGCACTCTCTCAACTCGACCTCGTCTTCATCGGTAAGATCTGGAAATCCAGCTTAACTAGGGGGCAAAATACGGTTCCTACGAAGGCCACAACATGTGTTTTTGAGGTGGTGTTCCCAGTCCTTCGGGTAGCATAGGAAGGAGGGGTTCTGCCCCTGCCCCTTTGGAGAGACCACCTCAGAGAAGAGGCGGGTGTTTGAAACAAACTATCTGAGCCTCATACTGGCACCTCCCTGGGGCATTTATAAATGGGATTCACTGTATTTCTTTTTTTTTTCTTCAATCCTCACCCAAGGACATTTTTTCTCCCATTTTTGTTCAGATGGAGTGGGAGGAGGAGGAGGAGGAGGAGGTGGAGGAGGAGGAAGAAGAAGAAGAAGAAGGAGAAGGAGAAGGAGAAGGAGAAGGAGAAGGAGAAGGAGAAGAAGAAGAAGAAGAAGAAGAAGAAGAAGAAGAAGAAGAAGAAGAAGAAAGAGAGAGAGAAACATCGATGTGAGAGAGACACATTGAATGGCTGCCTCCTGCACAACCCCAACCAGGGCCAGGGACAAACAGCAACCGAGGTACATGCCCTTGACCGGAATCGAACCCACGACTCACGGGTCCATGGGCCGACTCTCTAACCACTGAGCCAAACCGGCCAGGGCCACTGTATTTCTTTGATATTTAGGTCAGATCTATGAGTAAACTTCCACCGAGTATTATAGGAAAATGCTTCACATTTTTTTCTGTCATCAGATTTGTTAATATCAAATGCTCACCCAAGTTCTCTTCGCTTTTTACGCGATGGCAAACCCTACCAACCCCGGTTTCTCGGGTCAGGCTTCCTAACTCTCCCTACAGGATGACCTTCAAACGGGCAGAACGAAACTCCCTTCGGAAAGAGCGCTCGCGTTACCGAGGATAACAGCGTGGTCGCCTAGGCAACGAGAAGCCATGGAGCCCCAGGAAGGAAATGCCGGAGTTTCTCATATTCGTTTGCATTTTTCCAGTTTCCAATCCTAATTCTCAACAGGTCAGACGTCACTGTGGAGGACGTTAGTGCTCCCCCAACCTACACCTTGCCTCTTGTGAATCCAACAATGAGTCACTCCTAACACAGCCATGGTTTGTGCTACCTGGGCCCACTGACAATGACAATTAAGTTTGGCGATCACGTGTTACCTAATGGGTGTGCCACGGGAATAAATTCACAGTTCCTGATGAATCGCCTGGTCACTGATGCCGATAGCATCAAATCGCGTCATGTCCTGCGTTACATTCCTGAGACCGCGCGGCACGGGGTCGTCCTGCCCTCTCGTCAGAGAAGCGTGCATTACCCAGGATCACTTGCGGCAAAGCCCGTAACACATCGGACTGTCAGTAAGTTTCTTAAAAACAAAACCCAGCCCTGGCCGGTTTGGCTCAGCGGTTAGAGTGTCTGGCGCGGTCCAGAGAGACATGGGTTCGGTTCCCGCTAAGGGTACGTACCTCGGTTGCAGTTTGTCCCCGGCCCTGGTTGGGTCGTGTGGGTGGCAGCCACTCGATGTGTCCCTTTCACGTCGATGTTTCTCTCTCTCTCTTCCGCTCTCTTTCCCTCCCACTCTATCTGAATAAAAAATGGAAAAATGCCCTCGGGTAAGGATTAAAAAAATAATAATAATAAAACCCAAATAACTGTGGCCAGGTGGCTCAGTGGGTTGGACCATCATCCTCTGCACCAAAAGGTTGTGGGTTGATTTCCGGAAAGGGCACATGCCAAGGTTCTGGGTTCGATCCCTGATCAGGGCACATGTGAGAGGCAACCAGTTGATGTTTCTCTTTCAAATCAATGTTTCTCTCTCTCTCTCTCTCTAAATCAATAAACATGTCCTCAAGTGAGGATAAAAAAAATTAACAATAATGAAATTATTGAAACCAAATGGTATCACAGCTAAATATCAGTGGCAACATGTGAAGACACATTTTATCATTCTAGGTGGCACAGGATGGAAGGTTCAAGGCGCAAGAGTCTTGCTATCCTTTCTGAAACACTGTCCCGCAGCGTCTACGTGTGGAGTTCAACTTTGCAAATTCAGGGGGAAGGTTTGGTGTAAGTTTGTAGCCACATGATAAACACTGTGTACTGACAGGAAACCAAATCACTCCTTCTGGGCTAAGCGGTACATTTGGTGGTCAGTGTTCACTACCCCAGAACTGCCGAAAATGGTTCAGGGAAGATTTTCTGTCTTGGCATCGGGAGAACAAAGCATTCCGAGTTCTTTTAATCAATGAGGAAAACAAAATGTCTACACAAACTCCAAGGGGTTAAATCTGAAAAGAAAGAAACGCCAATCGAGTCCGCTGTTAGTGTGCATACATTTTGGGGGGACACCCCGCATCGTTGAAGATGCCTTTTCTCCTCTCTCTCCTGATCCACTCACTGGATCGAGGTGAAAACATCTTGCAACAGAAAGGCCGTGAACTTGATTTGCAGGGATCTCAAATCAACAAAACAAACGGACCTGAACGTCAGGGGCTTTCTGAACAGCATCCTTTCTATGACCAGACAGGTGACGTGCAGGTGTCTGCCCCTTTTATTTCTGCAGCTGTGACTGCCTTTAGGATCCGAGCAGGTGAGTGGACTAAACTCCGTAGCTCTCACCTACGATGTCCAAGGTGCGGCCCCGCTCTGTGGCCGTCCCGGGTGAAGGCAAAGGGGTGGGAAGCCTTCCTCACGCGTGCCCCGTCTTGGCCGAGCAGAGACCTCTGTTCAGACCCCCCCCTGGAGTTGCCGGGCTCCCCTCTTCCTCGGCTCCCACTTACCCCATCCGTGGTCATCCTCCGCTTCTTCTTCGTCGAGACAAGGGACTTGCTGCTGACGACCCAGCTCCAGAAAACTTTGTAGTGATGCACAGGGAGGTCCGGCTCCTCGGGGACATCCCAGGCCAGGGTCACGGTCACACTGCCGTCACTGTTGCTGGTGGAGTTGGCCAGCCGGAGGTTGACGGGAGCTGGAGGTGCAGACGGATCTGAAATCCCAGGAGAGAGACGAACCGGGTGACTCGAGGACCGAGCCTGACACGCAACGCGCACCTTTGTGCGTGTGCGGACCGCGTGCGGGGCCCGCGCAGGGAGCGGCCCCTTCCGGGTCCAGTAGCTGCAAACAAGCCGTCAGGAAGGTCCCTCTTCAGCCTCAAATTGACAGATCAAATGACCAATAAGATCGCTGCACCGGGGTCCTAGGTAAACAACCTCGTGAATCTCCTGGACAGTTGCACAGCACAACCAGCCACATCTTCACCGACCACAGGTGATCGGCGTCTGTAAGACACGGGAAAATGCAGTGCAAGCTGGCGGACACTAACTAGGGAAGCGGAACAGAACCGCCTTGGAAAATCCTGAGAAGGAGAAGCAGCCCAGGTTCACTGTTCTGTCTCAGGCCCTGGCGCTTTTAAACCTCAACTCTCCTAAGAACGAGCAACAGCGATCGGCCAACCCAAACCCTTTTTTATTTTTAAATCCACACTGCAAACCGGATGGCGTGCAGATAACATCCATTCCTGTGATCTCACTGGCTCTGGTTTATCACATAAACCAGAGCTGGCTCAGCTGTGAGGAGAGAGACCAGGTTCGGGAATTATTATGCTACAAATCTCCTCCTGCACACACACCCGCGTGCGCGCACACGCACGCACACACACGCACACGCACGCACACACAAAGATGACTGGCTATATGTAAAGCGAGAGGTCCTCCCTGCTCTTTGTCCACAGGTCGAGCAGGTGTCCACCACAAATGGTTTCCAGATGTGTGTAAGCCCAGATGCAACCCCCCCCGGAAAACTGTCAATAATTCTAATGATAACACCGTCTGCAGACATGCAAACCAACCCCAGCTCACTGCATGTCTGGGGAGGAGACTACAGGGACAGTGCCCCCGGGTTCGCTCCCAGGATCACGCGTGCTTTGGAAGGACAGAGACGGGAAAGATTTTCCAACGTCTCTCGCTTGCCTCTGAACCATATAGACTGGAGGCATGGCTGGTTGCCTCCTTGTTAAAAATGAGAATATTTCGTAGTTGCTGTTTTAGGGAAGGGATAAGCCAGGTGCATCACGTGGTGATGCTGATCTGGCAAGTCTTATTTTATTTTATTTCATTTTACTTTATTGATTTTAGAGAAAGAGGAAGGGAAAGGGAGAGAGAGAAACATTGATGAGAGAGAATATCAATTGGCCGCCTCCTGCATGCCCCCCACTGGGGATCGGGCTCACAACCTGGGCATGTGCCCTGACCGGGAATCGAACCAGCAGCCGGCCTCTTGGCAGATCTTGCAAGTAGTGATGAACATGTGAGACGTGCTGGTGGTGACCAAGGCTCCCCTGGGTTGGGGAGGCGCGTCCGTCTCTGTCAGCTCCTCCACTCCACCCTTCTAGCTCGAGAGCAGCCACAGACAGTGCGTGTACAAATGACCGTGCCTGTGTGCCAACGAAACTTTACCAGTAACAACAGAGAGCGGGCAAAGTGTGGGACATGGCCAGAGGTCGCAGCGTCCAGATGTCGCCTTTCAGAAGCAGAGACCGGAGCTCTCTGCACCTGGACCTGAGCGCTGTGGCTGTAATTTTACCAGCAGGGGTTGTACTGGGTTGATGCCACGTCGGCATTCTGTTCCCATCTTACGGAGCAGGAGAGCGAGGGTCCGAGGATACTTCACTCGTGCAGGAGTGTTGGGTGCGAGGGTCAGATCCAGACCTCGAGACCCCTGCCTCCCCGACACCTCCATCTGGGGCTTAAATCAGAGTGCGTCCCCCCTCTCATAACCCTTCTGCCCCACTGGACACCTCCTCGTGGTCTTCGCAGCATCTGCAGGAACGCGGCTCAGGAAGCGGAGACAAACACACTTTCAAAGACGACTGGAACAGGGGGACTGCACCGGGCCCTCTTGTCCTCGGTTTGGGTGACGCCCAGGGAGATTCAGCCCAGGGAGCCGACGCCGGCCTTGGAGAAACAGGGGCGTCAGTACGTCCCAGCATGTGGTGCGTTTGGCAGAGGCTGGGGGAACTTGGGGGTTTCCAAAAGACAGACAGGGTTTCACCCTCTGAGCTTTGGAGGTGGAAAGCAGAGTGACCAAGGGACCCACAGGAAGGTTCGGCACAGTCACACGGCTCTGAGCCCACGGGGAGTCCAGTGACCAGTCAAATCACGTGCCGGCCTGGGAGACGCGCAGGTCTGTGACTGCGCTGACCAGAGATCTCGCGGGGCTGGCCGGAGAGCTCAGCTGGTTACAGTGTCATCGCAATGCAGCAGGGTTTCGAGTTTGATCCCTGGGCGGGGTACATACAAGAATGAACCCATGAACGTGTGAATGAGTGGAGCAACAACTCTCTCTCTCTCTCTCTCTCTCTCTCTCTCTTTCTCTCTCTCTCTCTCTGTCTCGGACCCCTCCTGCCCATCTCTGCAGAAATCCCATGCTCACTGTGAGGCTGTTCCACATTCTCAGACAACACTGTTGGTTAAATACGAACCCCCACCCCCTGCAATGCACAGGATGTACAGGACAGTAACGACGGCCACCATTATAAATAAGTGACAGTCATAAAATACATACCACGATTTCTAAAATCATACACAAATATATACCTATGCATATTTGCAGATGCACACCAGGCATAGCAGAACAGTCTCTGGTTTAGGAGCATGCATGTTGATTTGGGGATTCATGTATTGGATTTCCTTACATGATGCTTTCCATAGGTCAAACTTCCCAGTGAAAGGCATCATGGGAATATCTGTGAAGGGATGGAACAGGGTCGAGCACAATAATGTTTTAAAAGCCATGATACAGCCCTGGCCGCTTTGGCTCAGCGGTTAGAGCGTCGGCCTGCGGTCCGGAGAGACCCGGGTTCGGTTCCCGCTAAGGGCACGTACCTTGGTTGCAGTGTGTCCCCGGCCCTGGTTGGTCGTGCGGGTGGCAGCCACTCGATGTGTTCCTTTCACATCGATGTTTCCCTCTCTCTCTCTTCCTCTCTCTCCCTCCCACTCTGTCTGTACAAAAAATGGAAAAATGTCCTCGGATGAGGATAAAAAAAAAAAAAAATTATAAAAGCCATGATACAACTAGTCACAAACTCCCCAACTAAATAGAAGCTGCTTTTAATATGTAGACGTTTCTCTCCTTTCCAGACTGGGCCGTTGGGACGGAGTCCCTTTCTGCATTACAAAGCAGGCATCACCGGCAGGAGGGGACACCCACCCCGCGGACGTCCCTGAGAGGTCTCAGAAGCTGCACGGCAGGTACTTCACCAACTAGTCACTAGTTTCCGGGGCGTGAACAGCGGAGTCCTGCTCACTGGAAGGGGGCCCCCCAGAGGAGCTGTGGACAAGCACAGCCCCGGCCACCGTGCAGCAAGGGGCAGGGTTCAGTGTGCACGGACATGCGGTCATGTACACACATCGCATTGATGGACACTTCAGCTGGCCAGACGAGGCTGGCTCCTCCCTTCCCTTTGTTTTAAATTTTTTAATTTTTTTATTGTTGAAAGTAGTACAGATGTCCCCCCTTTTCCCCCCATTGACCTACTCCTCCCTGCTCCAACCCCTCTTCTGCTGTCCCCAACCAAATGCCTGTGTCCATCGGTTGAGCATATGTGCATATAAGTTCTTTGGTGTATCTCTTTCCCCCCTTCCATCCGCCGTCCCTCTGAGGTGGGTCAGTCTGTTCCCTACTCCATGACTCCGGAGCGCTTTTGGTCGACAGCTTGTTTTGTTCAAGACGTTGCACAGATAAGTGCTATCCCCTGGTACTTGTCTTTAGGGGAATGGCAGTTGTTGGAGTATTTGTTGATGGCCATTCCTGGCTGGTGTGAGGTGATCCCTCAGGACGGTTTCAATTTGCACCTGTCTGGTGGTGAGTGACGGAGCATCCGTTCATGTGTCCTGGCCGTCTGTACGTCCTCTTCGGAGAAGTGCCTGTGCAGGTCTTTCGCCCATTTGTGAGCTGGGTTGTCTTCCTGGTGCTGAGTTATACGAGTTCTTGGCATATTCTGGAAATGCACCCCTTACCAGAGGAATGTTTAATAACAGCGCACCCCCTTTCACGCCCTCGCGGAATTCCGTGCGTGAACCTATTTGGACATCTCCTTTAAGCACAGCTCAGTGTATGGGACCGGCTCTGTAACGGCGGCGTCTGGATACGGAGCTGAGGGAAACAGCGGACCTTCTCAGGGTCCCGATCTGAACTCTGTTCTGAACCATTTCAGGGCGCATCAGCTCACCTTCGAAATGCCAGCCTCCACCCCCGAGCCCTGTCCGGACCCAGAGCGAGCTGTCCCCGAGCAGGACAGATGTGCCGGGAACAGCCCGCACGCAGCCACTGAGCTCCCACGGGGAAGAAGCTCGGGCCCGTTGGGTAAGCGGAACGAGAACAGAGTCTCCATGTGCGTCCTTCCCTTTCTGTCTTGCATCGCTTGTCACTCACCCTCATTTCTTGGCTCGCCTCCCAAAGAAACCCCTTTTACTCGAAGTCTGGGCTTTGGGAGTGTTGGCAGAAAACCCTTCTCCAAGGACAGAATCCCCCGCCTGAAGGCCTGCCACTTCCCTTTGTTTAAACGAGGCAAAAAATAGAAAGAAACGTGTATTTATTAGGCTATTAAATGATTTGTAATTTTTATGTTGTAATGTCGCAGCCAGTTTTCTTTCTCACATCCCATGCTCAAAGACAATACAGAGGATTGAAAGAAATAAGTGTAGAAATTATCCCAACCTCTGGTCTTTCTGCTGCCGGCACAAATGACAGATTTTACCCATTTTATAATCACATTTTTTTTTCCCCAGGGAAAGCTAGGGGTTCACTATAAAAATATCCACAAATGGTATTCATCTTGAAAAGAAAAAGCATGAACCTGGGTTACCAATCCAGAAACCACTCAGAAGTGTCCATAAAAATAAGTAGTCTACGGGGTTAGGAATACATGTTGGGAAACGCGATGCGTTGAAAGGAAATTAGCTTGCTCAGTCGCCGATCCGTCCTAGCAAACCCCAGGGCAGCTTTGCGTTTAAACATAACCGTGAAGAAGAGAATGACAAGAATTGGGGTTTTTCCGTGACACCCGGGATTAGAGCCCTTGAGTACCAGGCAGCACGCCTACACTAAACGAAAGCCATGTCGTCCAGTGGTTTTTCTTCTCCTATTTAATTTTACGTTTGTTTTCAAAGGTGTTCATGGTGGAGGAAAACTATGCCCTTCTCCTCTTGACCCAGTCTTGAGTGATCAAGGCCGGCCCTCTTCCCAACTCCAGCGCACTAGATAACTGCCTACCCTTCGGGTGGAGCATGCTTTTGGAGACCATATGCTTTCTGAAAACATTAACCACTAGAAGACGTACAACTGGTATACCTTCCCTTCTGGAGCATAGCAGACATCAATGGGCTCTTGTGAAATAAAACGGCAGCATTTGTTGAAACACCCAGTTACCGTTAAAAGGTGAAGAAATGGTGAGCCTGTTTCCTGCTCTGATAAAAACACTCAGAATCCATCATCGCACGGTGAGGAGCGCCCACACTGTTCATCCTGGCACTTGCGTAGGCCGGAGTGTCGGCAGAGAATTCACAGGAGGGCCTGCTCTGCTTCTAGTGAAAAGGCAGCTTGTAAAAGGGGGGGGGGGGTACAGAGATCCCATAAACAGAGGAAGACACTTCCTGCAGGGCATGTCCAAAGGTCCTTAGCTGTTCACAAGGTGGCACCGCATTCTGATAGGGTGGAGGTGCAAAACCAGGAGTGATGGAGGAGGCACAGAAGACACAGACCAACGGCTGTCTCTACTCTACGTTAATGTTCTCAAGTGAGGCCGGAAGGAGCCTGTCGGGGTGACGGAAGCATCCTGAAATGTGATGGTTGCACCACTCCACAAACAGTACAAATCACTGGATTGTACCCTCAACATGAGTAAATGTCACGGTGTGTACGTGGCATTTCAAGAAGATTGTCCCGCCCTGGCCAGTTTGCTCAGGGGTTAGAGCATCAGCCTGGGGAACAATGAGACCCGGGTTCGATTCTGGCCAAGGGCACGTACCTTGGTTGCGGTTCATCCCCAGCTCTGGTCGGGGTCGTGCGAAAGGCAACCAGTCAATGTGTCTCTCTCACACCAATGTTTCTCTCTCTCTCTCTCCCTCCCTCCTACTCTGTCTGAAAATAAATGGAAAAATGTCCTCGGGTAAGAATTAAAAAAAAATAAGATCGCTCCTTTTTCCCCCAGTAAGGCTCTATTCTACGTTTGATGAGACTTGCGTGTGATTACGAAAGACGTAGTCAATGCTGCAGCACCCGTCAGACCAGTCCTGAGGGAGGTGTCTTCCACCGCTCATGGGATCTACTGTACCCCCATTTTCCAACACGCGTCTTCACTGAAAACTGAGTAGCGTGTTCTGTGAATTCTGTATAGACACGTGTGGTTGGCAGGATGCACCAGAAGAAAAGTTGGATTCGCAGAGTTGGGCAGATTTGTAAAAGCAGGTCACGGAACATCTTAACAGCGGCCACAATGCTTCAGAAAATGATCTTTCATTAGACACAACCCATGTATATCCTGGGGCTGCAGCGCTCATTCCAGACTGTTCAGGTGTAATGGGAGGGACCGAGCCAGCCGGGCCCTGCCGCAGCCCAGAATGGATGCCCCATCCGCCCGTGGCGGCCACTCGACAAGCCCTGGGCACCGGCCAAGGGCCTGGGCTGGACCGCACCGGACTCTGAGGCCCCAAGTCTGTCTGCGGAAGCCAGGAACGCCTTTGATCTGAAGTCTGCGTTGGCAGGCTTCACCCAGGGGCGCAGCCTGGAGCCCACGGCCACCGACAGAGGGTCACACGGTTGGACCGCAGTGTGCCCACGACGCCCCGGGACGTGCAGCCCACGCTGAGGGGTCCTCGAGCCCTTCCTTGATCCTCGCGTGCCGGCCCGCTGCTATTATTTATGTCACACACCTCTCCGGGTCATGAGAGCGGTCGGACACATCGTTTAAACACAAGGTCTAAGGCCTTTAATTATAAGTTCACTTTAATGCTTCTCAGTGTATTGACCTCAGAGTTGGGGGGCGGGGGGTGTGCCTTTGTAAAAGGACTTTTATTTAAAGGAAGAGTTAAGAGCCCACAACATGCTCGCCCTGGCCGACGTGGCTGGTGGGTCAGAGCGTCATTCTGTGCGCCGAAAGGGTACCTACCGGCTTGATTCCTGCTCGCGGCACCTACATAATTTGTGGGTTTGAGCCACGGTTGGGAGGCAGCCAACTGATGTTCCTCCTTTTCTCTCTCTCTCAAATCAATAAAAACATACTCTCGGGTGAGCATTTAAAAAAACCTACGCCTGGCATGGGGTGGCTCAGTGGTTGAGCATGAACCCTGCACCAAGAGGTCGCCGGTTCAATCCCCGGTCAGGACACATGCCCAGGTTGTGGGCTGATCCCCAGTGGGGGGCATGCAGGAGGCGGCCAGTCCATGTTCTCGCTCATCCATGTTTCTCTCTCTCTCCTTCTCACTTCCTCTCTCTCTAAAATCAGTAAAGAAAAAACAATTGTTTTTAAACCCACCACATAGTGTGTAATAGAACCCAAATATTAAGTTGTCCTGATGGCAGGTTTTCCCGAGAGACCCGGTTATGCGGAGAAAGGGGCCAACGTTACGCGGCGAGAGACGGATCGACTGGCTGAAACGTAGTTTCCCAACCTTGGTGTAAAAGTGGCAATTTATCGCGGCCAGTTCAAACCTTCACACAACGAAGGACGTGTGACCGCCATGGGGTCTTGCATATTCACTAAGAGCACCATGCGGTTTGTTTAAAACAAACCTAAATTAGCCCTGGCCAGTTTGGCTCAGCGGTTAGAGTGTCCGCCTGCGGACCAGGGAGTCCTGGGTTCGATTCCGGCCAAGGGCACGGACCTCGGTTGCAGTTCTTCCCCGACCCCAGTCGGGGTCGTGCGGGAGGCAACCAGTCAATGTGTGTCTCTCACATTGATGTTTCTCTCTCTCTCTCCCACTCTGTCTGAAGATAAATGCAAAAATATCCTGGGGGTAGGATTAAAATAATAATAATAATAATAACTAAGATAAACCTACGTGCGCGTCCATGAAGAGGCCGGCGCCCAGTCTGGATGCGACACGGACGGGCCCACGTCTGTGAAACCTGATCTCACCACGAGCCGGGCCAATGGACACGCCCTCAGAAGGCTCGCAGCCTCAACACAGTGGAGACGTGGACTCGGACGCCCTGTTGGTGTGTGTGGGATTGTGTGCAGCTCGCACAGACCAGCCGCAGTGAGCTTCCATCGGCGTCCACGGGGGGTTAGGACAGCAGGGGGGGGGGACGGAACAAATGACAGACCGGGGAAGTGACTGCAGGGGTTTCCATTCTGGCCGTCTGACATCGAAGACGGCGATTTGCACTGAGTGTCACCATCATTTCCGGAAGCCGCAGACTGTCACGTGGCCCCCACGGAACCTCTCTCTCCGAACACTACTGCAACGGTGCTCGCTGCAGACCACCCAAGGCTGACGCTACCACCCGAACTGGAACCTGAACCCTAACCCACCGCTCTGTCCTCTGCATCGTCCCCAAAGCAGAGCCAGGATGCCCTTGGCTGACATTCACGGGTGCTGTCAAACACCTCTGGTCCCACTTGCTAGGAGCAGCAGCCACCGGGTGCCCAACCATATGCATGGGCATGGGGACACGATGACTCTGCATGGCAGGTGCGCCCGGGAGGGAGGCGGGCGGGAGGGGAGGGTGCGAGCGGGAGGGCAGGGTGCGGGCAGGAGGGCAGGGTGCGGGCAGGAAGCGACACTGACCTCTGGAGGAGCGGAAGTGTTTGCTGGGGGCCGTGAAGCCCCGGGTGCCGTGGACGTTGACCGCGGCCACGCGGAACTGGTAGCACCTGCTGGGCCGGATGTCGCTCAGCTGCACCCGCTCATCTGTGGTCTGAGGAGGATCAGGAAGCACAGGGAACCCTTTGATTCTAACACATCCACGGGGCTGTTTAGAAATCACTAACTCACTGGCCAGTGCAGCCAGCCGGGCCCTCCCCGCCCCTCTGGACAGAGCGTCCGATGGTCAGCCGTGAGCAGAGCTGGAGGGTCCCAGAACGGCCAGGAGACTCCCCACCACCCGAAGCTGTCCACAGACCTGTCACCCCCAAGAGCGGAAGATCCCTGCAAGCCAGGCCCTCGACAAACGTCTGGGCTGTGTTCAAATCTGGGCTGAACACAGCACCCAAGGGATGTCCGCAGTGATTATTCAGACTTGCCGACAGAGATCCTCACGTCAGAGGGAAGAAGGCAGATCACCTTTAGGGGACAGAGCAAAGGCCCGAGACACCTGCAGGCCCACGGTGATCTGGAAGGAAGTGTGGGAACACACAGCCTCGAACAACGCTAACACCTTCGGTTGTTGCTATTTTCCTCCTTTTTAAATTTGAGTCAAGGACGTAAGCAAGGGAGGGACCTGTCGGGTTCGCGAAGGGGAAGGCGTGTGAATATATCTTGTCCAGTAGAAAGACAGACAAAAACGGGACACGGGGACGAACCATAGGGTTGGCTCTCTCCACGGCTACCGTCCCAACATATCATCCCTCCGTCATGGGGCGAAGGGACATCCACCTGCTGTGAGCAGGGAAAATGTGCCCCTTGAATGGCAGGAATAAATGCCCGTCTCTGCCCGGGGCCGAACTCAACTCAGGGCTTCGCGGATGAAGACGGGAAGTCGAACTGAGTTAAACCCGCCCTCAGTTGAGGAGAATTTATTGAGAAGAATGGTGGCGTTGCCCTGGCCGGTTGGGCTCAGTGATGCAGACGAGATCACGGCATTGCGTCAGGGCGCTCCGCGTCGGAAGCAGAGAGAATTTTAGGCTGAATTTTGAACACTTCTGTGTTTTATTAAAGTAATTTTTTTTTCCCCACAAAATAGGTATACAATTATGAAATTTATGTGACCAGCCCGGGCGGTGTGGCCCAGTTATTGAACGTGGACCCTGCACCAAGAGGTCACCGGTTCGATTCCTGGTCAGGGCACATGCCCAGGTTGGGGGCCTGATCCCCAGTGGGGGGCGTGCAGGAGGCGGCCTGTCCATGTTCTCTCTCATCCATGTTTCCATCTCTCTCTCCCTCTCCCTTATTGTCTCTCTAAAATCAATCAAGAAAAAAAATTTTTTCAATTTATATGATCAGGGTTTCCCCCCCAATTTAAGATGTTTCCTTTATATCCAAACTTCTCCTTTATTTGGGGGGGTCTTTAAGTTATTTTCGAGTTTCTCCTTTGGGGAGGCTATGACGACAGACCAAAGACCCAAACGACTCTCCCAGATACCTGGAGACGAACACTGATCTTATATTTGCTGAGAGACGAGAGTGGGGATGCTGTTGGAGGAGGCTGATCTGAGACTCTTTCCCAGGGGAGGTGCATGTGGGGAAGGAGTCTGTGTCGAAAAGTGTCCGCAGGCATCCTGCAGCGGGTAGTGTGCTTATCAGCTCTTTAAAAGAAAGAAAATATTGTGCTTCCCTCCTGGGAAGACGGAGCCAAAGGGCCCCGCTGAGCTGAACGCCGGCGTGCGACCGTCCAGCGGGGCGTCACGTGGCCAAGGACCAGGGCGCCGGGCAAAGCACTTGGCAGAGACGAGCCCTTGGCCGCTTCCCACCTCGTCTGGGACGTGAATCTCAGCCTCCGAGATTCAGACACAGAAGAGAAGCCCGTTGGATGATCAGATATCCTATCGACTAGTCCCGACTGGGTTGCGTCTCCGTGACTCTAGTCGGTTGCAAGCTTATCACACGCGAATGGAGTCCTACAGGAAATCAGTGTCCGCGCTCGGGTTAGAAGAGTATCTCCCTTCCGCACGGATGTTGGGCAAAGTAAGGCACAGTCGTGTTTCTAGATGGATCGGTCACCCTGACTCTCAGCAGAGGCCCCGAGTGACATCACTGCAGGCTATTTGGATCCTCGTGGAGCGAGGTAATTTGGGGTCGCAGGTGTGCCCTGGGCATTCCCTCCAGAAAAGCGTCTCTGCAGCACTTACCTGGGCCACCGTCTGCCACTGCGTGGCGTCGTCTTCGCTGGGATGGAGGCCATAATTCCACCGCCTCTGCACCACGTACATCACAGGCTCCATGGAGATGTTGAACTTCGAGGACCACCTGATCTCCAGCTGTCCGGACTGCAGCTCTGTGAACCGTAACTCCTTCCGGGGCTTCAGGGGGACCCCTGCGACAGGACCATTTCAGTTACAACCACGTGCGTGGGACCCCACCTGATGCCGGTGGGGGAGGGAGACCCACAGGCGAATCCCCCTGCCGCCGGGGAGGACGCGCCACCTCCTTGCGGATCCAGGCTTCCCGTTGGAAATCTCCGGCACGGGGGTCAGACTGCCCCCTTTCCGAAGAGCCGGACCCTTGTTCTTTTCGCTTTCTCACTTTTTAAGAAGGTCTAAATCGGTTCCGGATCCCCCCACCCCAGTCATCTACGGAGCAGTGTGTTTTGGGGGGTTCTTCTTGTCGCCAGGTTGCATGGGGCGAGGTGACGACGGACTTGACAGGAGGGGCACCCTGCACAGCGTCAGCGTGGCCCCCACGAGCATGCTCCGAGCCCTTGCAGACTCCCCAGGTCATCCCCGCGTGGCTTCCAAGTCTGCTCTCCTTGGATCTCGCTCAGGAAAATAGTATAAACTCAACGCTCTCGGGTGGGCCAATCTTACAAGAGCGATTTCCAAAGTGGGAGTCCTGCGGACCCCTTGGATGGTGGCTGGGGCTCTCCCCTGCCGGCTTAGGGTTCCCCGTGGGAAAAGGAGGAGTTTTTAATGTCTCGCTGGGCAGGGGTGGGTGCGTGGCTCCGGAAGCTGTCGTAGGGCAGCGGCGCCACGCATTCTGACTTCCCCCCACGGTGCGTGGACGCTGTCTGCTGAGGACACGAGTCTAGAACCACCGTTCGGAATAGGAGCCTCCGGGGCAGGGGGTGCGCAGCTCTTTTCTGACACTGTTATGAACGCGGGACCAAGTGCCTCGGGTGGAACCTCTGGCTGCACCAGGGGCCAGGCCACCCACCCAAGGACACGGCTGCCCTTCGACTCCTTTCCTGCTGAGAATGAGCCCTTCGGATGGACAGCTCTTCGAAGCTGTCAGCTCAGGCCCGGGCGGGTTTGGCTCAGGGGTTAGAGCATCGGCCCGCAGACCAAAGAGTCACGGGGTCAATTTTGGTCAAGGGCTCGTACCTCGGTTGCGGTTCTATCCCTGGCCCCGCTTGGGGTCATGAGGGAGGCAACCAATCGACGTCTCTCTCTGTCTGTCTCTCTCCTCCTTCCTCCCTTCCACGCTCTCTAAAAATCAATCCTCAGATGATGATTTTTTAAAAAAAGCAAAGAGTGGCGAGCAGGCTCAGCTGGTCCCAGGAGTGAGGCGCATTGCTGCCCCCAAGCCCCAGGGCACGGTGCGCCCATGGGCAGCCAGAGCTCCCGCCCAGAGCTCCCGGGCCCTCAGCCAGTGGCCGCGCTCCTTGTCCCTAAGGAGAACCATGCACAAGCCCCCACAGCAGGGCCGGCCGACTCCACTCGCGTCGTCCCGGGGCCCTGGAAGCTGACCAGGACCCCGATGGCTCCCACAGGCGACATCCACGTTGTGCTCGCAAAGCCCGGCACTGGACCAGCCAGGACCCGTCCCCGAGAGCCCGGGCCGGTGGCAGCCTGGAACTCCTCTGTGGGGCTGAGCACGGGTCTGGCTCCTGCTAGGCTGGTGAGCGGGACCCTCCCGGCTCAGCAGCTAGACGGTCCGGGAAAGGATCCAACTGGCCCCCGCACCCCGATTACCTAACGCACTAGCTCATTCCCGCAGAGGACACGAAAGCCACCTCACTGCACGACTACTGCTTCCATCCAACGCTGCGGGAGAGCAAGGCGCACGTCCCCACGTGTACAGGCATGTGTGCACATGCGTGTACACACACGCGTGCACACACATGTATGCTCAGGCCCTCTGTGGTCCAAACCACACCGTGTCATCCGAACACGCATCCTGCAGACCTCGTCAGGTCCACAGACGGTGTTGGTTCTGATTGTGGTTGGTTCGGCACGAACTGCCTCCCCCCAAAATCCAAGTCCCCCGCCCCTCCCTGGCCAGCACCGCACACGCCCGACCGCTCAGGGCGGCGCAGGCTCGCGCCGCAGGTGTCTTCGCAAAGCCCTTTGCCGACGAGCTCCGTCGTGCCCCGTGGTCCCGGCACGTCTGAAACTCATCCCGCCTCGCCAACACTTGCATGGAAAAAGCACATTTTAATTTATAGTCTCTCTTCAAAGTGCCCTACACGAGGTGTGATGAGTGTGAGTTGACCACTGCGGTAAAAGCATCTTGTGTTTACGGGCAGGGCCAACGCTCACATCGCCAACCATCCGTGATGACGGAGGACGTGTGCTGGCCACACACTGACCGGCACGGTGTTAGGCTCTGCAGAAGCGATGCTGAGCATGTATAACGAGAGGCGGGAAAACAGCGACACCTTAGATCTACTCCAGGAACGCAGCACCACGGGAAGGGACACAGTGACTCTGAACTTCACACGGGGTATTTCGGCCGGGTTTCCGAGCATCCTAGGGGCCAAGGGGAGACAGCAGGGATGGCTTGACCTCAGGTGACAAGTCTCCAAGTGAGGGGGAGGGAGGAGGGGAGGGCCCGGGACGTCCGGGACCTGTGTGAGCGCAGAAATAGACTTCTGCAAACGATTCCCTTCACGTAGCTCAGCACGGGCGATGGCTGGGAATCCTGCCCTACACAAAGGTGTTTATACGAGCTCACCTGTGGTCAGAAATAACATACACTGAAGCATGTGGACGAAAGTGAGGGCGAGAGAGGGGAACAGAGAGAGATTACTTTCAACTCGTGATGAATAAATGAAGGACTAGAAAGGGATTCTCTCTATTTCACTCTGGAAATTGGGCCCTGGAGGTAGCAGGAGCATCTGTCTCGCGGGATCCTCCGAGGGCAACGGGACCGCACGTAAGGCAACAGCCGCGGTTTGGCCTCCAAGCACGCAGGTCGCTCCGGAGGAGGACGAAGCCAGGAGCACGGAGCAGAGACCGTGCAGGGCGGTGGGCACCCCCGGCAGGTGTGAACACTATTCCTGCTCAGCTGTCTGACAAGCTGGGTCCCCGCGGGAAGCGGGCAGTGCCCGCGGCTGGCCTCTCTGGGTTCTCATCGAGACATTCGGAGCCCGCACGGTGCCCTGCGTTCTTGCATTATGCGCGGAGGCAAACCACCACGCTGGCGGCTTCTTCGAGGGTGCCCACCGCCGGCCTATTTTGCAAGGACGTGAATCTATTCATTCTGTGGAACTTGAGGGACTTATGATTCTCAGGGGAGAAAAACACGGAAACCAGTTCCTGCTCTCATGCCGTGCGTTCTGCGCGTTAAGTCTGGAAGGCATGACTGGGAAGGGTTTGCTGTGCTCCAACACGAGCTCATGGTGGCTGAGCTGTAGGGTCGGTTACTGTTCGCAGATGCTTGCTTGGCACTGGGAACATTTCCCTCTCGTTTTACGCTGCTCTACAAGGGTGTCTCCGGGTGACACCCAGCACACGTGAACCCCAGGGACATGGCGGTGCGCCCCCAGACGCGCCGGCTCTTACCTTTGTACAGCGTCTTGGGTACCTGGCAGGTGTGCCCACACCCGTTAGAACAGCACTTCTTAACCCCGGAGCATGCGCTGTCTACCTCACAGCTCTCGACACAGGCGGCCGCGAAGCCGCTGGCCTTCTCGGGAGCCGGGCAGTCCCCCTGCTTGACGGCCAGCACGTACTTGAGGAACGCGCAGCTGGTCACACACTCGTAGTTCTTCTTGGGGGACCGAGCCTGAGAGAGATCACAACAGTTCGGTTCAAGGCAACACGTGAGGTCTGATCCCCAAGACGTCGCAAAGGAAGCTCAAATCCTTATGTCGTCCAAAAGTTCCTTCAACGGTTTATGGAGTAAATGCATTTGCTTTCTTTCCCACTAAAGAAGTCATCTTTTATACTAATTTCCTAAGGGATTATGACCCATGAGATAGCTTTACATGCAACAGATACATGTCATTGACACGCATGCACATTCACAGATTATATTGTGTAAGTGCACAGTGGTTGTCATAATCACCACCATCACCACCACCACCACCACCATCACCACCACCACCACCATCATCATTACCATCACCACCACCACCATCATCATTACCATCACCACCATGACCACCACCACCACGACCACCACCACCACCATCATCATTACCATCACCACCACCACCATCATCATTACCATCACCACCACCACCACCACCATCACCACCACCACCACCATCATCATTACCATCACCACCATCACCATCATCATTACCATCACCACCATGACCACCACCACCACGACCACCACCACCACCATCATCATTACCATCACCACCATCACCATCACCACCATCACCATCATCATTACCATCACCACCATCACCACCACCACCACCATCACCATCACCACCATCACCATCATCATTACCATCACCACCATGACCACCACCATCACCATCCTCATTACCATCACCACCATGACCACCACCATCACCATCATCATTACCATCACCACCATCACCACCACCACCATCACCATCATGACCACCACATCATCATCATCATCACTATCACATCACATAATCATCATCACCACCATCATCAGCATCACCACTATCCTCACCATCATCACCACCACCACCATCACATCATCATCACCACCCTCACCACCACCATCACCACCATCATGACCACCACCATATCATCATTATCACTATCACATCATATAATCATCATCATCACCATCACCACCATAATCACCATCACCACCACCCTCACCATCATCACCACCACCACCACCATCACAACCATCATCATCATCACATCACATCATCATCACCACCCTCACTACCACCATTATCACCATCATCATCATCATCACTATCATCACATCACATCACATCATCATTATCACCACCCTCACCATCATCACCACCACTATTATCATCACCATCATCACATCACATCATCACCACCACCACCCTCACCATCATCATCGTCATCACATCACATCATCGTCCCCCCACCATCCCCTCCATCCCCAGAGCAGTGTCAGTTAATCACTAACAGGTGTAGATGGTCTACTATGTCCCTCACCCTCTACCAGGTGCTTTACTTGTTCACCTCATTTACTCCTCCCCAGTTCCCACAACCCGCTATAATTTGCATTTTGCAAATAAGGGAAGAGAAGCTCAGGGAGATTATAATTTCTCCAAAATCACCAACAACTAAGAGTGCAGGTTACTATTATAGCCATGTTTTCCCAAGGGCCGTCCATAGGTCCAGGTAGAGAAACAAGACCACTAAGCTATTGGCTCTCAACCTGCTTCCCAGTAGGACCATCTGAGAGATCTCACATTCCTGAGAGATCAGGGACTAGAGCAGAGAAAAAACTACATACATAGATATATCCATGCATGTGTGTGTGTGGACATACATACACATACTTACATACATGTATATATGTAAGCCATGTATATGTACATCAAAAAGGCAGGCATATTGCAGGAATATTGATAAGAACAAGAAACACTGAAGTATAGTTTCTGCTATTGAACTTCAAGAACATAAATACGATTTTTTCAGGCATCTAGGTAGAAAAGGCAAGATGATTATGGCTGAGAATATATGGTTTCCCCCACATTAATTTCTCTCTACAAAATTTAATGTGTGAAGCCAAGAGAGCAATGGCTATATAAGAAGAAGAAAAATACAGTACATACATAAATATATAAAGACAGTTAAGTGGTTCTTCAAAACTGTATGTGACAGAAATAATCTCAGACACAAAGACTCAGAGAAAATATGTAGTTTATATCAATATGATATACAGTGGCACATATATGTAAAGTAAGTATAAGAAAAACTCCGCTGTGGATCTTCAAATAAAGGTGTGACAGAAATGTTCTCAAAGACAAAGACGCAGAGAATGACCCTTGACCATGACCTTTCGTCACAGAACCAGGCCACAGGAACCTTCAGCCATCCCACGGACAGACAGAAACAAGAACAGAGAGACTAACATGATATTCAGTATCCACGGGAAATAAAGCATATACGTGTATAGTACGTGAGAAAAAGCACCGTCTGCCATTCCATTTGGCATGAACGACCTCAGAGAAAATAATACCTCGACTCCTCTTCAAAACACGTATGATCAAAATCAAAAAGCCAAGTGGAAACAAATAGAAATACGTTATTAACCACCTTATCATTCATATAAATAAAAAACTGGCATTGAATAAACTGGGAATTACAGTTAAGAAAGAGAATTGGATGTACTGAAACGAAAAATTTAAAATAATTTCGGAAAATCTGTAGGGAGGAGGAGGAGGTGTTGGAAGAAACATGTGAGCAGAGTTACTTTGCCCTTCATCTTAGGCCATCACAAATAATCAAAACAAGTGTGGAATTTAAAATATAATTATTTCAACCCCATAATATTTCTCATACTCTCCCCCCACCCCGAACTTTGGCAGTTTCTTTTACTTCTGTTACATTGAAACAATGTTCAAGTTTAAGCATGATTAAAACGTAGCTTGCGCCGAGCTGGTGTGGCTCAGTGGTTGAGCATCAACCCTGCACCGAGAGGTCGCCGGTTCGATTCCCGGTCGGGGCACATGCCCAGGTTGTGGGTCCATCCCCAGTGGGGGGCGTGCAGGAGGCGGCCAGTCGATGTTCTCTCTCATCGATGTTTCTATCTCTATCTCCCTCTCCCTTCCTCTTGCTCTAAAATTCAATAAAGAAAAAAAAAAAACACTTTGAAATGCAGCTTGCACAGAGAGATGGTTGCCTGATGGTGTGTGTCGGGGTCCCCAAGAATACGCCCCAGTTCCTTATTTACTCAGACGCTCAGCACTGAACCCAGAGCTGTGCTCTGACTTCCTACAGCCAAACGGCGCGAAGGGAAACCAGGAGGGAAGGGGTTCATGGGGAGACGTCCCAGGGAACGGGGTGCAGCTCCCAGCCCCCTCCTGCTGGAGGCACCCAGACGCGCCAATTCCTGTGCCGTGACTCATGAAAACGCTTGGGAAACGCTGCCGACCGGAGGCCTGCACTGGAGCTCAGTGGTCAGAGCTTTGGTGGGGGCTGCTCACATCAGCGCCTTCCGCCCCCCTTGTCCCACACCACCAGACTCCCAGAAGAAAATCGGGTGTTCCTTGTCCACCACACTGTAGGACGCGGGAGTCTGTCCACCAGGTAGGGAACGGTGAGCCCCTTCCAAAACCCAAGTTTCCGGGTACCCGGCACGAGCCCGGCTTTGAGGTGGGATTTCCAAGGGGAGCAGTTTTGGGTCTGCGAGGTCAGCTCGCGTGCGCAGGTAACCACGGCCACTCTGGGTCCGGAATTTGAAGGAACGGTTTAGTTTTACTCTCCTGTTTAGTCTGTCACACTAATTTTTTAATGTGCATGTATAATCTCTATAAAATAAGACATTATACCGTTTGCAGAAAACAGCAGCGTCAGTGCTAGCTTTCAAAGACCGCATCTAAATCCCAAGGATGCATGAAATAGGAAAAAGCAGTCTCAAGTCATGTGTTCCCGACGTCTCGCTCGGAAACGCAATTATAACGTGCTCTGAAATGCAATTACACGTACTCATTTATTACATGTGATTACGATTAGTTGGGTTCCCAGGCAGATTGTAGACCCTGCCCATGAAGAAAATAAAAAGGAGCAGAAAATCAGAAACATGACTATTAGGGAAGTCAGTCTCCTATGAGAACAATGTCCGTCTGTCAGCTTACTCGTCTTCGCTTGCAAATCTGTCCGAGCCGACTCTTCCTTGGCTCACTGTACTGTTTATACGAAGGGAATCGTGCCCCTTGTATGGGGCATCGACGCTCAGATTCTCCCCTGGCAACAGCACTCACTGGTTTTAAATATTTTTAACAATATTTTTGCACTGATTTTTAAAGAGAGGAAGGGAGAGGGACGGAGATTAGAAACATCAATCGATGCCTCCTGCACGCCCCCTACTGGGGATCGAGCCCGCAACTCGGGCATGTGCCCTGACCGGGAATCGAACCAGCGACCTTTCGGTGCACGGGACTAAGCCCAGCCAGCCGAGCCACATGCACCAGGCCACCAACACCCACTATTGTTTATATCCATGTTATTTATAAGCGTGATGACTGTGACAGTGTAGAAAATCCGAGTTAGAATCAGGAAAGGATTTCATAATGAACGTATTCAAGGGCGCTGTAGTCCACATTCAGCACCGACTCTCGCTTTGCAGACTCATTTCATTTCTTCAGTTTTCATCAGTGTCGGCAACTGCGCATTTTCTCTCTATAGGGGTTCATCAAAGAAACCCCAAAGACTTCGTCGAATTCATAGCTAGCTCAAAGTGTTTGCTGGGGAACCCCAGTATCAAAGGGGGACACCCTCACGCTGCGGAGTGAGAAGGGGGTCGTTGCTCACGTAGGAACAACATCGACTGGAAATGCAGACTTGCTCACACCCAGTAAGTCGTGACCTGTATTTTAGACACACTCCCAGGTGCTGTGCACCCCCACGCCCCAACAGAGCGGCTCAGGATCACCCCAGAAGCCGGCCTCGGCCTCTCAGAAGCGAGTCTCCCCCTCTCTGCCCTGAACTTGACTCAGCCTAGAAACCTGGGCTTTTCACCCAAGGTACCTCCAGCTCCACTCCCGACAAGAGTTCTCACGCCCTCAGCGCAGAGATGTGTTCAGTCTTCCCCAGGCGGACACGCAAGATGACTGCCCACAGGAACGGCCCGAGCACGCC